ACTTTAACTACTAACATTAAAATTAAAATATACTTTTACCACTAGTATCAAAAACTATATTATTATTGTCTGACTTGAGTAGGTTTTTACTACTTTTGCTACTGATTCAAACTGACAACTTTAATTTACTTTTACTACTAACTCCAAATTTATATAAACAATGTCTGACCAAAATGTGCTTTTACTACTGATTCTAAACTTCTATGAATTACAGTCGAGGAAAATTTACTTTCACTACGAATTTCAAACTTATGTTAATTATGTCTGACCAAAATACGCTTTTACTACTGATTCTAAACTTATATCAATTTTGTCTGAATAAAATATACCTTTACTACTAATACCAAAATCATGTCAATTATGTCTCACTATTACTTACTTACTCTACTGATAACCAAAAGAAAAAAGATCTACCGTCTGACTAAAACAAACTTCTACTACTGAAATAATAAAAAAAACACACAGCAAAAAAATAAAATCGTCTTCAAACTGAAATTAACCCAATTTAATAAAATCCATTACTCCTTCAAAAAAAAAAAAAAAAACTTAAAAATATTAATGAATATTCATTTCAGAAAATGGATGCTCTCACAATGTGGAACTTTAAATAGTAACTCGATACGTTCTTATTAAAATAAATTCTTCCAAAGTCGATAACAAACGACTATAATAAGTTTTGACTCGAAGCGAATAATTATGCCGCCTCCATACTAGCATTTTATCTAAAAGAAAAATGTCGATAACTCGTCGTTATCTTTGACTAGCACAATTTATCTATTCCACTGGAAAAAAAAGAACATATCCAACACACCACCAAAAAAAAAAAATCTTACCAACATTGGCGCGGTGAATATCAAAAAAGAAAAAAAAAACCCCAATGCTCTGCTCACCTATAGGTTTTATATACATTGGAATCTCTGATCTCGAGAGAAGTGTTCACCTATATACAGCACCTCTTTGAATTGAGACTTCATTAGCCACAAGTTTACGCTCGTTGAAATCCAAACGTTTGGACCGCATGTGTATATCTCTTTGCCAAACTAAAAAGCGACAAAAGAATGACCCTCTCTCTCTCTCTCTCGTTTTCTCTCTTCCTCTCTCTCTCTCTCTCACTATTCGAGGTCTTAAGAACTCGCGTAAGGAGAAAAGTGAACGCCAGATGAACGCCGCGATCAGGAGAGAAAGAGGAAACCAAAAAACGAGTTGGAATGAAAAAAAGTCAAAACAAAAATTAAAACCGTTCTGTTAATCGCCAACTCCTGGTCACTTGCCAACTTTTTTTTTCTTTCTTTTGTTTCCTGTTTTATCTTTTTTTGTTTGTTTCTTTTTATGTCAATATAAAGAATTTACGTTCTTTTTCTATAAAAATTAAGTTTTTTTTTTATAAAAATTGAAATTCATTTTTTGAATAAATAATATTTTTTTTTAATTATTATCAACTACATTAACCGTCGTACACTGAAAAAAATCTATTTGATTCAAATAACCAATCAATTGACTATTATCAATTAAATATTTAATTCAATCAAATAATAACTATTGGAGTCAATTAGATGATATTTGAATCAAATACTAAAATTATTGGTTCAAATATGAATTGAACCATTTAATTGACTCCAATAAATATGACCTATTTGATTCATGTTAATATTTAATTGATAATAGTCAATTAATCGATTATTTGAATCAAATAAATTTTTTTTTTCAGTATTTTTTATGATTCATAATAAAATGATATTACAAATTAGAAAATTTAAAAAAAATTATGATTAACAAATAAAAAATATAAACATTTTGTTTGTTATATGCTTTTCTCTATAATAAATTTCGTTTAACTGATCTAAATTATCATGCAAATTATTCTCCTTTTTATTTATAAAAAATACTAGAAAATTTGTTAATTGTTAAAAAATTTTTAAAAATTGAACTTTTTCCAAAGCAAATTTTATTATTTCCAAAGTAAATTTCGTGACAACTTTTTCTTATTTTTGCAAGATATTTCAGTAAAATTTGTAAAATTTCTATCGAACGTTGTAAAAATTTATTTTAATAGTGGTAAAAATTATGGTTACAAATGTGCAGAAAATATCAATTAGTTCTTAGAGAAGAGGAAAATTTTATTATTTTCAAAAAAAGTTTACTACTTCCTGATTTAATTTTAATTTGATCAACTTTCGAATTTTTAAAGTCAAAAAAAAAATTAATAAGTCTCGAATATTTTTTTTACTACTGTTTATAAATTTACACGACTAATAACAATTTTGTCTGACTATACAAATTACTTTTACTACTGTACATAAATTTAATCATATAATAAGAATTTTTGACGGATTAGAAATTACTTTTACTACTGTCGTTGAATTTTCATACTTATTCTCAAAGCAAAATTTAATAAAGAAAAATAAAAGTATATTTTAATCAAGAGTCATTGATATTAGTTTAGAATAAGTAGTAAATACAATTTTTAGTCAGACATAATTGTTATAACTATTTTCAGTAGTAACAGGAAATTTTGGTCAGACTGAATTTTATAATATGTGATAATTTTTTATTTTTTACTTTTAATAATCAGTAGTAAAAATACTTTTTAGTCAGACTAAAATTTCGTTGAATTGTAAATATTGCCAGTTGAAGTTTATTTCTTTAGGAGTAATTTTTAATTTGGACAATTTTCGAATTTTTAAAAGTAGAAAAAAAATTAACAAGTCTAAAAATTATTTTTACTAGTTTTCTTTACTAAATTTAAACGAATTAGAAGAATTTTGTCTGACTAGAAATAACTTTTTCTACTGTCGTTGAATTTTTATACGAATAATAATAAATTCTCACTGACTATAATTCATCTACACTACTAATAGCGAAATAACAATTAATTAATTAACAATTAATTATTATAATAATAATAACTTATATATAATACATTGTGGTCTGACTAAAACGTACTTTTACTACTGACAATAAATTACAATAAATTCCCGAATTTTGTCTGACTAAAATTTTCTTTTACTACTCATAATTGTTGCAACAATTCTGTCTGACTATAATTTCTTCTACTACTGTATTTTAAATAAAAGTATAATAATAGTATTTTTTAAATAAATTTTACTACTGCCAGAGTTTCAGTAAAAATTGTAAACTTTATTTAAAATGTAGTCAAATTTATTTTGAAAGTGGTGAAAAATGGGAAAATTGAAAAAAGTGAAAATAGAGTAAATGAAATAATTAGAAAATAAATGCGAAAATTTGAAAGCAGTAAAGAAGAAAAAATCCCTGTAATTTCAATAATATTTCGTCAAGATAGTAAATAAATAAAAAATTAAAAAAAAAAATTGCAAAATTTTCATTAAATGCACAAGTACGAAATTCGAAACAATATATAACAGTAAAATAATGATGACGATGATGATGATGATGATGAAACAAAAGAAAAGAAATGCAAAAGAAAAGAATCAGTAGTGCCTTTAAAGTAAAGGCAATCGGACCGATCAGGAACAAGTTCATTATAGATTTTATAGCTGGTCATTTGTGCAGCTTCAGGCGTGAACCAGAATTACCGTCATGAAAATAACACAAAATGCATTTTGCAATCATTAGTCCGCCATTATTTAAAACTCATCCTTATTTAGAAACCTAAACTCTCTAATTACATATACTCAACAATTTTTTAAAACACAAAAAAAAAAGAAACAAAACAAAAACAAATTGTACCTCTAATATATGTTTCCTTTGCCTGTTTGCACAGAAATATTCGTTGAAATAATAATTCAAGAAAGCATAGTGTAGGAAATTTGTAATTTATTCTCCGAAGAACAAAAGAGAGTAAGAGAGAGAGAGAGAGAGAGAGAGAGAGAGAAATATTCTCTTCTTGTGGAAAACAGTAGTATAACGCCCAGGAAGTTTCGTTCACGCTCGTTTTCGTCCGTGGAAAACCCAGAGAGTTGATTTGCCGTTACTAAATCAAGTGGCTCACTGTGTGTCGCTCAGAATTCTCAGCTCTATAGCATAGAGAGAGAGAGAGAGAGAAAGAGGGTAGGAATTCGCTTTTAAATTAACAACTACCTTAGACGAAACAATTTCAGGATGCTATTTTCCGCTGCAAATTGACTCGCATACGGATATATATATATATATATATATATATATATATATATATATATATATATATATATATATATATATATGTATAGTAAACCCCCCTTCCCCCTCTCTTATGAGATTCCCATTCATCTATATAGGTCCATCCTTGTGCGCCATTCCGGGCGCAAATCGCGCTGCAAGAGATTACTCGATCTTTTACGCCTCAATTATCATTCCGAGCCATTATTAAACTTACATCGCTTCCATTATACCTACTACTGGTCTTTATTCGTTTTAGTTTGAAAATGCCCAACTATAACCTCGGCGACTGTACAAAATCGAATAAAATATTTTCCTATCACGCCATTTGGAACTTAGCAAGGGAATAATGATTCTACCTGAAAAGTACGGGGATTAAGGACTCAGTTTCTTCACTGTAGTCGCTTTTTCTATTTTTCACTCTTTTTCTCTTTCCCTCTTTTTCTTTTTTCTCTTTCTCTCTTTTTTTATACTTTCACTCTTTCACATTTTCTCTCCTATCCTCTTTTTCTCTTTCTCTTTTCCACTCTTTCTCTCAGTGGAGAAAGAAAAAAGTAGAAAATACATACAGAAAAAGAGAGAGAGAGGAACAGAGGAAAAAATAAGAAAATAAAGAAATAAAGAAATAGGGAGGAAATAGAGAAAGAATGAAAGAGAGAAACAAATAGCGAAAAATGGAAACAAGACGAAAAGAAAGATATGCAGAAAAGGATAAAGAAACGACAGAGAATAAAAAAAAATAAAAGAAAGAAGAAAAAATGAAACTAAAGAAAGAAAGAAAGAAAGTGGGAAAAAATCGAGAGAAACAAAATAATAAAAGAAACACGAAGAAAATAGGAAAAAAGCAAGAGAAAAAATAAAGAAAGAAAAAAATACCAAAAGAAAAAAATAAGAAAATAAAGAAAGAAAGAAAGAAAGAAACGAGACAGAAACCATCAAAGACAGGAGAAGAAAGAAAAAAAAGAAAAAAACTAGAAAAAGAAAAAAGAGAGGAAAAAACGAGAGAGAAAACAAAAAAAGGAGGAAAGAAGACAAAAAGAAACTAGAGAAAGAAAACAGGAGGGGAAGAATCGAGAGAGAAACAAAATAAAGAATGAAAGAAGAAAAAAAGAAAATAAGCAACTAAAGAAAGAAAAAAGATGAAAAAATCAAGAGAGAAAATCATTAAAAGAAAGAAAGAAGAAAAAAACAAAATAAAGAAAGAAAGTAGAAAAAACAAGAAAAACAAAAAAGAAAGAAAAAAAAGTAACTAGGGAAAGAAAAAATTAAGGGAAAAATCAAGAGAGAAACAAAATAAAGAAAGAAACAAGAAAAAAACAAAATGAGCAACTAAATAAAGAAGAAGCATGGGAAAAATCAAGAGAGAAAATCATTAAAATAAGAAAGAAGAAAAAGAGAAACTAAAGAAAGAAGAAAAAGTGGGAAAAAACGAGAGAGAAAAACAAAAAAGGAAAAAAAGAAACGAGAGAAAAAAAACAAGAGGGGAAAAAATCGAGAAAAACAAAAAAGAAAGAAAAAAAGAAGGAAAAAATCCAGAGAGAAACAAAATAAAGAAAGAAACAAGAAGAAAACAAAGAAAAAAAATTAAGAAAGAAAGGAAAATATATCAAAAGAGAAAAATAGTAAAAAAAAGAGATAAGAAAAAACTGGAGAGAGTGAAAGCAACAAAAATCGAGAGAGAGAAACAAAAAAAAGAAGAAAAGAAGACAAAAAGAAACTAGAGAAAGAAAACAGGAGGGGAAGAATCGAGAGAGAAACAAAATAAAGAAGAAGCATGGGAAAAATCAAGAGAGAAAGTCATTAAAAGAAAGAAAAAAGAAAAAGAGAAACTAAAGAATGAAAAAAAATGGAAAAAACGAGAGAGAAAAACAAAAAAAAAGAAAGAAAGTTAGAAAAACACGAGGTAAAAAAACAAGAAAAACAAAAAAGAAAGAAAAAAAAGAAACTAGGGAAAGAAAAAAATAAGGGAAAAATCAAGAGAGAAACAAAATAGAGAAAGAAACAAGAAGAAAATAAAGAAAAAAATTAAGAAAGAAATGAAAAAATAGTAAAAAAGGGAGATAGGAAAAAACAAGAGAGAGTGAAAGCAACAAAGAAAAAAGAAACTAAAAAAAGATAGAAACAAGAAGAAGTATATAAAGAAAGAAAGAAAGGGAAAAAAGAAGAGAATTAAAAAAGTATCAAGAAGAAAATAGAGAAAAAAAAGGAGTCAGATCGCAGCAAAAAAAAGAACGAATGAAAAAAAATATATATAAAGAAACAAAAAATAAATAGGGGGGAAAAGAAATGGAGAAAAAAAAGCAAGAGAAAAAATAAAAGAAAGAGAGAATAAAATATAGATAAAGTAAGAAAGAGGGAATAAAATCGAGAGAAAATATAGAAGGAAGATAGAAACAGGAAAATCGAGAGAAAGAGAGAGAGAGAGAGAGAGAGAAACAAAAAACGAATGAAGAAAATAAAGAAAGAAACCAGAAGAAAATGAAGAATAAAAGAAAAAAAAGAGAGAAACCGACAAAAAAAGAAAAAGTAAAGACAAAAATAAACAAAAAAACAAAAAAATAAAGAAACTGAGAGAAACGAAGAGAGAAAGAAAGAAGAAATGACACAAAAAAATAAAAAGAGAAAATACAAAAAGAAAAATGAGAGAAAAAATCGGGATAGTAAGAAAGAGAGTAAGAAACAAGAAGGATCTCCACTAATCCCTACGATTTTGTAATTTCTTTTTCACTGAACACTGGAAATTTCGCTGATTGATCTCGACACGAAATAGTTTCTTTTTTTCAAATTTTTTCTTGTCGTTTCATCCATTTTTTTGCGTCTATTAATTACACTCGTATTTTGATAGGAGAAAAAAAAATTGATCTTAGATTAAGAGGATGCTTATGAAGTCATTAGGTGGAAATTATATAGTGAATCAAGAAGAAACGCGAAAGCAGGAGAAATAAATTCAGGAAAATTATAATTGAATCGACACATGCGAACAGAACATAAGTTGGATAATGTTTTTTTTTTTTCATTTTTGTGAATGATCATAATGAGCGAAGTGGTATGTAATGCAAATTTCCAGGACAATTTGTTTTGCGAAAAGTAACATTTATTCTCCCCTATGAATTATTATAGATGGCAATTAAAGTTAACACTGCAAAAAGGATTTTTTTATTGAAAAAACATCTAAAAATTATCAGTTTTCAAAACATTTATTAAAAAACATCTAAAAAATATCAATTTTAAAAAATTTAAAAAAATTAATAAATTTAATTTAATTTTTAATTTTTTTAAATTTTTTATTTAATTTTAAAATTCATCAAAAATTATTGTTTACAATTGTGGATAGCAATTTTTAATTAAAAATTGCGAAATAATAAATAAAAAAATATAATAAAGAATAAAATTCTAATAAATAATAACAATTAATAAAATTTTGTTCAGACATTTTTTTTCTTACTCAGAATATATTCAGTAACAATAAAAATATGGACGATAATAATTGTTTATTATAATGTACATAAGTTGACATTATTTTCAAAAAAATGTGTAATTTCATAGAAAAGGCAAATTTACAAAAAATAATAATGGGGGTAAAAACATTCAAAAATTTTTTTTTTACTCTCAACATGTTCCTCAGTAAAAAAAAAATAGGGACCATAACAATTGTTTACAATAATAATAATTTTCCCCGATATTTAATAAATAATTAATTTTTATTTAAATTCTCTTAATTTTCAATTGTTCACCAATTTTTTCGACAGCTTGTCAAAAATTAATTATTATAATCATTAATTATTTTCAGTTTGAATTTTTGAAGTTTAAATATTACAAATATAAATTGAAACAAACGACTGGAATTTGTCATAAACAAAAGACACGAAGTTGTTAAATTTTGAATAATAATAATAATAATTACCCGTAATTGCTTACAAAATTTCGTAGAATTAAACTTCAGACAATATTCGACTGATGGTGAGAACATTTCGTACAATAATTGTTTTCCTCATAATAGAACAAAAGTGCACATTCGTATTACATGAATGAAGTGTGCATTTAAAACCAATGAACAAGTGCACTTGAAAGCCTTTCACGCGTCTTTGAAAAAACTCGAGGATATATCCACTGCAATTCAAAATATATAACAATACAAAACCACCATATCCCGGTGATAAAAATTCTCCCAAAGGAATATTTTTCATACTTAAATAGAAACTTAAACTTAAATAGAAATTTTTTTTTTTTCTAAATTCACAAGAAAATTTTTAAAAAGAAAGAAAACAGAATTTTTTTTACCAAAAAATACAGGACAATAAGAAATAAAAATTGGTTTCAAAATATTTTTTGCTGCAAGATAAACAAAATTTTTCTTCCTCTTCTCTATAAAACGAGTTTGAAAAATTAATTAGAAACTCGTTTAAAACGAAATAACAACAGAATTTTAGAGAATCGTTAACTTTTCTTTTTTTTTGAAAACTCATTAGAAAATCGTTTTGAAAACTAGTTAGAAAACAAATGAATGGAAAAGTTTTAGGAAAGAAAATTTAACATCGATTGGAAGGTGAACACATTTGTTGAAACTATTTTTCCACCGCCTGGTTGGATTTTTTTTTATTTTTTTTTTTTTTGCTGAATCTAAACCCCCCTTTGGTTTATATAAAAAAAAAACTTCGAACGACGAAGAGAAACTCGCGACAAAACATTTGTCCAAGTTATTAAACGACCCTGTCCTCTATCGAATTATTGCGGATTTCGCAGCGGTAGCTTTTTCCAACCCAAGTGGCTGGGTCGCTTTAGTTTTTTTTTCACTCGCGAGAGGCGAAATTGCGATCGTTTCCAAGTATTCTATAGGTATTGACCAAAAGAATTTTTGACAATAAAACGAAACTATCTTGGCACAAATCGAGTTCACTATAAAAGAGAAAGAGAAGGGGGAAAGAGAAAGAGAGAGATATAAAGAGAGTTGATTCTTTACAAAACATGTTTTCGAACTAAATTAACAATGAAAATTCTCTTTGTTATTTGCTAAATAGTCCTTTACTTGGCAGGGTTACACTAAATATTTCATTTTATTTTTTCCCTCTATTTTCCCTTAAAGAATATTTTAATTTACTCTAAAAATAATTAGATACACAAAAAAAGTTTGCAAAACATTTTTCAATAACTTTAATTTATATTTAATTATATTTAATTTAATAATAAAAATATTCGGAACATTAATAGAGTTTTTAAAATATAATTATTATTATTTTTCCACAGAAATGAAGATTTTAAAAAATTTTGAATGTCAAATCTTTGAAATTCAGTAATTTATATTTTATTCGAAAATTATTTTCAAGATTTCAATTCAATTATTTTTAAAAATTAAGGCAAATTAAACAAAAACATTCGGACAATTTATAAATGATCTCGGACGTTAAAGATTATTTAACTAATTATTTTTAAGAATTTTTTACTATACAATTTTTCACAATTTTTTTTAATTCAATTTTTTTTTTAAGAATTTTTGAGAAAAGTTCTCTTTAAAAATTCAATTACTTATTTAAAGAAAAAAAAGTTCAAGTAAAATATTAATAAAAATTTTTTCAACTTTTCTAAAACTCAATTTAAAACTTTTTGAGAATCAATCTATATATATTAATAATATTAGTAATATCAATTTAACATTCTAAAATATAAAAATAGTTACTCGTAAATTATTGTAGAAACACTAATTAATATTAAGGCAAAATACGGTTTTTTAAAAATTTATTTTCCAATAGAAAACAGAATTTTATTCATTTTACTGTCTTGTTTTAAGGAGAATTAAAAAAATTTATTTTTAGAAAATTTATATTACATTTTTTTCTAATTAGTTCAAATTTTTACTAATTTAAATATAGAGACTAATTTTTGCGATAATAATGTTGTAAAAAAAATTTAAAAATTAATTTATTTTCCTCAATTTTGCATAAACATGTGAAATTTTTTCTATTTTTAAAGATAAAATTTTTGATAAATTTTTAGAGTATTTTTTATATTAATTTTTAATTTTTTATAGTAATTTTTATATTAATTTTTATATTAATTTTTGTAATTAATGTAACTTTTTATAATTTTGAATTTGAAATAATTTAATTTTTGCATAGAATTTTATTAAAATTTAAATAAATAATTTAATTGTTTTAAAGTATAAATGTATAAAATTTCTTAAAAATAATTGATTTTTTTCGCGAAATTTTATTAAAATTACATTAAAAATAATTAAATTCCTGCGAATAAATAATTTTATAGAAATTTTTAAAAATAATAATTGATTTCTTTCGAAAAAAAAATTTTAATTTAATTAAAATTATATTGATTATAATTGATTTCTAGCAATTTTTTTCGAAACTAATAATTATTTTGAGGAATTTTATGAAAATTTTGTGAAAATAAGTTCATTATTTTGAGGAATTCAATTAAAATTATGCATTTAAAAATAATTGAATTCTCATAATTTTTTAAAAATTGTTGAAACTAATTATTTTTCTTCGAGAAATTAAAATTAATTTGCGTCGAATTTTATTAAAAATTTGCATAAATAATTAAATTCTTTTGGAAAATTTTATTAAAATAGTCGATATTAATTGATAATCATTGAATTGAGAAAAATTTTTGAATATAATTGAATTTTAGAGAAGAATATTTTTTTAATTTATGATAATAATTGAATTTTTTTGGGAAGATTTATTTTTAAATTTTTTGAAAAATAATATTGAATTCTGTTGAAGAATTTTATGTTTCATAAAAAAAAAAATGGATTATTGCGAAGAATTTTATTTAAATTTTTGAAAATAATTTAATTTTTGCGAGGAATTTTATATTTTAAAAAATAATTGAATTGTGGAAAAGAATTTATTATTTATAAAAATAATTGAATTCTTGCGAAGAATTTTTATGCGATTTAAGAAAATAATTGAATTCATACGAGAATTTTTTATTTAAATTTTTGAAAATAATTTAATTTCGGAGAAGAATTGAATTATTTCAAAAGATAATTGAAATTTTGACAAGAATTTTTTTTTTTTAATTTTTGAACATAATTAAATTTCTGCGAAGAAATTTTCTTTCTTTTTCAATTAAATTACGGACTTAACGGACCTTTTCTTTTTTCAAAAAAACTTACTTTTACGGTCTTGAAGCAAATTTACGGATATGAACGAATATTAAGTGATCCTAAAATTTTCAAAATTTCAATTAGTTTCAAAAATAAAATTCTCAATTTATCTCCAGGTGCAAAAAAAAAACCCCTATAGTTAATTTTCTGCTTGTAATAATAAAACAAATTTTCCACTTGATATCAATTTTTACAAAGAAAATAACAACAACAAAAAACATGAATATACTCTCAACATATTTCTGTAATTACAACCGCCCTTTTATCTTTATTAGAAATAAATGTTGTGACTTGTTCGAAGAAGTGGAAAAAGCATAAGGAAACGTTATTATTTCTACATGAGATACATATAGATGTCTTGATATCGTCATAAAACGTGAAGGAGAGAAGAGTTAAAGAAAAAAGGGAGAAAAAAAAATGA